AGCTGCTTACTCAGTTCAGTGAGGAGGTCAGACACACTAGGGTCTAGCCAGGGGCCATGGGGTCTCCGGGTCTTGATGCTAAACCTGGGAGAGATGGAGGTAGTGCTATAAGGGGTGTTTCTCTATGGAGCATAGGGGCAGGTGGGGTGCTACTTGGGTCTCCTGTATCCCATCCCCCATCATCCTGACATCCTTTTCTAATCCTGAGGCCCCTCATGGTGGACCACCAAATCAAGCCTGTTGTTCAGGTGGAGGTAGGGAAGTCAAACCCCTCTACTCCTTTGGCCAGTCTGGGGGGCACCTCTCAGTCTGACAGGGAGTGAGTGAGCAATGACAGAGCCTCTCCTTCCCACCACCTGCTTCTTACCCTTGCCAACTTGCCCAGCTTAGCTTAAAATAGCTTCTCCCACTTGATGGGCAGGGAAGACATGCCCCAGTGACAAGTACATGAGGCTGGGACAGGGGGTGAACCCCAACAAGATTCTTTCTCTGCCCCAGAGCAGCGGCCATCTTCCAGGCTCTCACCCTCTGAACCACATACACTGTAAGCCCCACTGATCCCCCAAAAATCAAACCCACTCTTGTGCTGGGGCTGTTCTCAGACCCCAGCACTTGCCTAGGTTCAAGGAAAGTGCTCAGGAGAGGATGAGGCAAGGGTCCCCAACGGGGCATTTGCCCATCACAGAGCACCCTGTCACCAGTCACCATGCTGCCTGTAGCACCTCCTGCTACTGTAGACCTCTGGAAACTGCCTTAGCCTTTAGTACCTAGCTTGAGAGCAGAAGGAGCAAGGGTGTTCCCTCTCTGAAAAGTTCCTACAGCTGCCTGATGGGTGTCCCCCAGTTATATCCCTGCACCTAATGTAGACCCCAGTCACCAATCTGACAGGTGGTTTGATGTAGCACTGCTCAGGTGGCACATTGGCTCAGGGCAGCAGAGGTCATCTGGGAAGAGCCCCAGCCCCTCACATGGCCTGCCAGTCAGAACCATTCCAGCCTCCAGAGCAGACACCCTTCTTCTGCCCTTGCAGGGTCCCCCAGAGGCTGTGTTGTCACAGGTGGCTTTCTCAAAGACTGACATCAAGGCTTTTTCTTTTTTCTTCCTCTCGATGAGGACTTCCAGCTGGGGCAGCCACAGGCACAGAGATCTTAGGTAGTCACTGTCTCTTCACTCAGGGCACCCACATGGGAACTGCTGGCCAGCTGTGTCAGATAGGCCTCGGGGGGACCCTAGCCCCAGGTGCCTGGGCTCTGTACCCAGACAGGATATGTTCTACACCATGCTGTTGGATTGCAGGTAGAGCTGGCATTAGAACTAAGGCTGCACCCACGGGGCCTCCTTTCCTCTCCTTAAGACCAGGACCCAGCGGGTACTAAAATGGGGAACTGCTGGGTTTCAGAAACCCAGAGACCTCAGGGTGCTGAGGAAGAAAGAAGGTGTTCACACAAAGCCCAGTCCTACCCCTAGACACCCTGATCCCAGTCCAAGTTGAGTCCCTCCTGTGCATAGCACCCATTGGGACCTCAAACAGCTCAGGTGTGAACTCAACTCAGTCCATGGGACACCCCTGGGAAGGCTGCCAGCCACATGGGAGGCAATGGTGGGCCAGGCTCTCTGGCTGTGTGGGAGGGCCTGGGCTGCAGAGGCGGGGCAAGAGTGACAAAGAACCAGCTACAGGTCTGAACCACTCTGGGCCCTTCCTGGGTGACAGGATTGTCACTATGGGATGGCACAGACCTATTCCATGAGCAGCCTGCTCTACCATCTCTGGCCATCTGGACTCTACTGGGATCTGAGTCCAGTTACTATCACAAGTTCATGAAATCCATAGAGCAACGGAGGTCCCATGAGTTTGGGTGTCAGTGCTGGCGGCAGGACAGCAGGGGCCTGGCCAGACTCTTCAAATGATCTACTTAACAGAGAGAAGGCAGAAGGGCCAGAAGAACTGCTGTGCCAGGGCCTTGCTTGGGGCACCACCTGTGGCTGGGGAGCCAAGACAAGGCAGGGTCCTTGCTGGGTCAGCAGATGGGCAAGGGGGTGCGGAGCAGAAGCCTGTGCCAGGGGATGTGAAACCATGGAGAGGAAGAAGGCAGAGGAACCACATGTGGTCTACAAAAGAGGGAAACTGCCCCCACAACACCCCATTGCCCCTCCACTCAATTACAGGCACTAACTGGCCTTTCCCAGTCTATAATTAGTTGGTGGCCCCACCCTAAACACAAACAGCCATTAGCCCTGGGGGAGGGGCTCTACCCAGCCACCACCCCTGTCTAATCACCCAATGCCCTGAACCAACACCCACCTCAAAAGGAGGTAAAGCTGGAGGGTTGCTTAAGCCAGACCCCAGGCTGGCCACCCCTGGGCTTGAATTCTGATCAGCTTACCTCCTTCTCCCCACCCATATCCAAGACAGACTGTTACAGGAGGCCCTGCACAGGAATGACAAACTTCTCCCCAAACCCTCAAAGCAAGGCAGGCTGTAGCAAGAGGGATGGGGAGTGATGGAAGGAAGGCCTGCCTGCTGGTAGGAAGGCAGTTCTCCTTGTGGGAGGGCCTGGCATCCTGGATGGCCTTGCCCAACTCAGAGGGACAAGGAAGAGTAGTAGAAGCTCCCTCCACCAGTGCTCCCTGCCCACACCCAATGTCCCTGGGGAATGATAAGCACTACCCACCAGGTTCACCAGGTTGTGGGCACAGGCAGAAGACAGGACATGATGTTTCCACAATGGCCAAAGTCCTGGGGGAGGGTGGAGGATGTGCCATATGGACCCCTCCCCAGGCTGCCAGCCCACCCCAGTGCCTTCCAACCCAATTTCTTCTGCTCCACTAGCCTGGGTCTGAGCCAAGTCCCTGGGCTTCCTGCACTTGGCCTCAGCTGCCAGCTCTGCTTCCCCAATGTGGTCTCCACACAGGGTTCTGGGCACATGGCCTCACAGGGAGCCAGGCAACCATGAGCCAACACAGCAACATCTTATGTAGCTCCTCGAAGAGACCTGTGTCTGGCCTGTCTGCCCACCTGTGGGAAGTCCTGACCAGTACCATATTCCACAGGGGATGGGGTTCTTGGGTGAGGGCTGGGCTGTCCTTCAGTGAGTGGCTAGTTAGTGAATTATCAGAGGGCATGAGGATGGCCTGAGGTTCAGCTTGTAGAAGACCCTAGGGATCTAATCAGCCTGATGCACACCCATGGTAGGACAGTAACCAATCCAAGGTGTATACCTGAACCTGGCCTCAGAGTCTCTTGTACATGGCTTCTGGAGGTGAAGGGGGTCCTCTGGCTGGGACCAGAGCACCTTCTGTCCCATGGCCTCCCTCAGAGGGGCCTGGGCCTACTCCAGGCTGGGTAGAACCTACAGGGACCAGCCTTAGGGCCTTCTCCTACCCAAAGGTGACGCATCCCGTCCCACCCCACCCCTTACTGGTCTGAGCAGCCATGAGAGATGGTGGAGCTGCACAGACTTGCCAGCCCCTCCCTCCTGGGGCTCTCAACCCACAGCCCGGAAGTGGATCCCTCTCCCACGACTGCCTCCTCCTGCCTCCTCCTAGGGTGGCTGGACACGGCTGGATAATCCAAAATAATTCCTTCTTGGCAGGCGGCCGGCGGGGGAGGGGGGACTCACATTCCAAACCCTTGTTTTTCTCAGTAACTTCCCTCAGTTCCTGGGGCAAGGAACCCCTAGCCAGACCTCAGGCCTCCCCCACCATGTGGTGGGGGTGGGGGTGGTGAGAGGAGGTGGGGGTGGCTCAGACCTGCCAGAGTCCACCTGATTGTTCCTCATTCTTTCCTAGCAATTTCTATGCAAAACACATGAAGCACTGGCAAAAATACCCCAGTTCCTAACCCTGCCTTCCTACAGACCCTCATCTATGGACCAGGGAGAGAGGATTCTTCCACTAGTGGTCTGACTTTCAGATGCCCTCCGTCCTTTGTGCCAGGGTAGCACCTGGGTGTGGAGTCCAGCTGAGAGCCCCCAACTCAGGTCAGCTCTCCCACTCTCTGGAGGGTGGGGAGGAAATGGTTCCTGAGGAGGTTCAGCTTTAAAGCCCTTTGCGGACCGACTGAAGTTAAACATTAAAGGAGAGACAAGTAAAGGCCTAGAGAGTCCTCCAAGCCCCAGAACGTTCCATGGATTTGGGGCCTGGTCTCACCCCCGAGTCCTGACCACCAATGCCATAGTGGCACCGACCCCTTCCTTCCTTATCCAAGAAGCTAGGAAGAACAGACAAGTGACGACGTGGCAGGAAGCTCCGGGGCTTTTGAGCTCAGAGACCCCCAGAGAGGTAGACGCGATCACAAGAACCTGCCAAACAAACTGACCACAGTGGAAGCAACAAGGGCCCATCCATGAGGGCTTCCCGCGAAGGTTTGTGGAAGAGCAATCAGGTGGGGAACAAGGGTGAAGTGCCTGATCACTCCCCAAGTTTTAAGGCCAGGTGTGCATTCAAACATCACACTAATAGCTGTTGAGGAGATCCTGGGGCCTCACCAGTTGTTGGGTGTTAGTTCTCTCCACCGCTTGTCCCCTGCTCCAGGGGGTGTGAGAACTGCCAGGGCCCGATTGCGGGTCCGGCCCGTGGGGAAAGCCCCGGCAGAGCCTGGCGTCGCAGGCTTAGTCTAGGGGGCGGAGGCCTGGAACTCCCACACCGCAGGGACTCTTTCCTTGGTGCACCAATTCGGCAAAGAAGGGGTGGGGGCAAGGGAGGGTCTCAAACCAGACCAGGTCCGACGCGTCTCCTGGGGTCACCGGGCCCCCAGCCAGGCCAGGCCTTCCTCTCAACGCTCCGGCGCCACCCGAGGGGTGTGGGGCGGGGACCGCCGGGCCTTGCCGGATGGACTGACGGACATGGATAGAGGAGCAGGCCCGCGTCGCCCTCCACAGAGCAGCACTGCCCCAGATCCCCGTGCCAGGGCGCGGCAGACCAGGGACAAGCGGCGCGAACCGCAAAGCCGCAAGCCCCGCGCGTCACTCCCTCGCTGGCCCTGTCCCCAAGTGCCATACCTGCTCGTCCGCCGCCGAGGCTCGATGGCGCCCGGGCCGCGCACTGCGCTGCGCTCCGGCCCGCGCGGCTGCCATGGAGACGGGCCTTTGTGTGGCCGAGGAGGGGCCGAAGCGCGCGGGAGCCGCCGGCCCCGCCCCCGCCGGGGGAGAGGGAGGGCGGGGAAGACGGGGGCGGGGAGGGAGGGACGAGACAGATGGGGAGAGGGCAGAGGAGGGAGGTGGAGAGGTAGGGCACGGCCAGCGCTCCCGCCTCCCTTGGGCCCAGTGGCCACTCGCGCGCGCCGCGTGGTGGGGGAGTTCATGCCAGGCAGTGCCCGGCCAGCCCTGTTGGTGTCCTGGGGCGCACGGTACCAGCAGAATCCCCTCAGCCTCGGTACTACCCCTGGGGCGCCCCAGGTCAGCCGGCGAAGGGGGAACGGCTCGTACTGGGGTTTCGCTCTGGCTGGGCCAGAAGTCCCCAAGCGGCCTGAGGTGGGCGGGGCACGAGCAGCCTCACCTCCAGACTGGAAAGAGGCCCTCCACACTCCTGCCATTTCTTTTTTTTTTTTTTCTTTTATTATTCATATGTGCATACAAGGCTTGGTTCACTCCTGCCATTTCTGAGGGTGGGGGGCTGCTGGACCTTGACTCCCAGGAATTACAGCGGCCCACACCCCCTAGGGAAAGAATACACCTGAGAATGCCCTCACAGCTTACCCTAGTCCCACCCATCTTCCTGCTCCTCTGGCCTAGAACGTCTGGGTGCTCTGGACCCCCTCCCCCCCAGCCTTCAGTGCCTGTAGGTAGAATAAGACCTCTCCCTGGACGTTCCGCTTCTAGCCTCCCAGTCCCCTCTGCACCACACATCGTGGTCCTGATTCTACTGGTGTCAAGTTGAGAGGTGAAGATGTCTTGATGCTCCCTTCTCCTGGGGCCCCCCCCTCCCCCGATAGCAGGATAGACTCTGAGACCTCCCCAAACCCCGGCCCACCCCCACCCTGGGATGTTTGCCTTCCACCAAGATTTGCTCTCTCTTTGCAGATAGTCTACCTCCTTCTGTACTCTCCCCAGGCATCTCCTCTGTTCCTGTCACCCTGGGGACCTCCCCCAATCAATAAGTGAGGTCATTACATGTTAGGAGCTGGCACCCCATTCTTTCAGCATGTCTGCCTCCCCACCCCTGTGCACCTTGTTCAGCCCACACCTTTCTCCCCTCCACCACAGCACATAGGACCCCAAAATTATCATATCAGAGTCCAACAGGGCTGCAAACATTTTTTATCAAAACAATTTTAAAAGACAAATATTTTTAAAGGTTATTTTAGTACTAAAGATGTGGGTAAAAAGGAAAAAAAAAAAAAAAAAAAGATGTGGAAAGGCCACTATCCCAGGCTGAGTTCCTCTTGAAGTAAAAGGCAGGAACCTGGAGGGTGAAGAGTTGTCCTTCCAGCCTGTCCCTGGAGCATCCTACCCATGACTTTCTTGCCTCCAAATGTCTGTTCATAGCTCTCTCCAACCTTTTAGGCTGGTGGCCCTGCCCCTCTGCGGGGCTTCAGTGACCACAGCAGCCCCTAACCCTCCAAGACTATCTAGTTTCTGCCCACCCAGGTGCTCTGCTCACAGGAACCTCTGGAGGAGGGGGTCTGCCTCTTTCAAATCATCTGGCCCTTCCTCCCCCAGCAGGGTCTGCCTTTGGCCTGCTGCAGGAAGTGGAAGAAGGGCATAGACAGTCAGCTCACAGGATGGAGCTTGCAGGAAGCCCCAGGCTGTGTGCTCTACCTAGTAACCAGGATAAGCCCTTAGGAAAAGGGACTGGGACCCAACCAGAGGCTCCCCCAAGTCCTACATGCCTCAGCCTTGGATTATGCCCTGGGCACTATTGCCCCTCTCCAAGTGTCTGTCCTGTGAACTCTATTCCAAGTGGTCCTGAGGATGGCCAGGTGCCAGGATTCAGGGGTCCAGAGGGACTTGGTTATGCATTTCAGGTGGCCAGGGTCCCCGGTAGCTTTGTGGTTGCCCTGCAGCAACCCACCTTCTAAGGCCCTCCAAAGGTGTGGTTACAGCTATAATCTTGAAGTGAGGGTCTTCATGGGGCTCAGACCTAGCACTGTGCTATCTTAGGCTTGGCACACTGAAGCTAGTTTTTTGCAGAGGGTCCTGATGGCCAGAGCTCTACTGTCCTTGCAACTCTGGTACTCCAGCTGGTCATAGAAAGGTACAGCATCTCTGCAGGTCCCTTAGAGACCAGGCTCTCAGTGAAGAGGCTGGTGCTTCTGTGCCAGATGGTCAGGGGCATGCTGCCTAGAGCTACACCAGGGGCTGGTGCCATCCATACTCAACCCTGGCATTACCATCTCCACCAGCCTCTGCTGTTTAATTGCAGTCACATCTTTGGATGCGGCACTGGACTGACCTAGCTCAACTACCCACTTTCATCACCACTCCCTTGCCTTTGTTTCCTCACCTGCAAAGTAGGTACACTGACAGGTTGTCCTAAGCTAAGGTTAGGGGATATCAGTGCATAAAGTTCTGAGAACAGGACTGGTGAAGTGGCTCAGGTGGTAAGAGTGCCTACCTAGCAAGCATGGAGCACTAAATTCAAACCCCAGTACCAAAAAAACAAAAAAATGTTCTGAGAACAGCACTGGTACCTGTGAACACTGGACCAGGACCCTGTTGTGGGGGGACTCAGCCAGGTCGGGCATGAAAGGTCAAGCAGTGCTCACTCTGTCCCTGCTTCACTTGAGGGTGCAAGCCAAAGGGACCCTTACCCAGGTCAGGTTACAGTCATACACATGGAGGCTTCAGAAAAGAAGCAAAAGCCCTTCCTGCAGCCCTGCACCAGCTTGCTTTGCCAGCACCTCTTTCAGGCATCAGGCACAGAGCCTAGTCACTCAGATAAGGAGTCTGAGGGTCTGAGTGGTCAGGAGACCCACAAGCTCACAGCAGGTGATACTCAGCTGGGGCCTGGTTGCAGCTCTAGGTCCACTCCTCAGTGCATACCCTACCACTGGCACCCTGTGCTGAGTGGACAATGCTGTACCATACTGGGCCAAACTTGGAAGACACTGCATGACTGCCAGGTAGGTGGCACTTCAAAGGGACTCTCACCCCGGCCTAGGAGATCATTTGCACTCCAGCCATGGGAACCAGAGTGGCAAAATTGGGTTAGAGCTCAAAGGCCTTCAGGCCGGGTGACAGCTGGAGTGCCCTTTAGCAGCCTGGGTGGAATGTATGGAGCTGGTGCCCAGTGGAGTGTTCCAGGAGAGGGAGCCAGGACCATGCTAAGAAAACACCACACGCCCCCCCAACCCCCCCCCCAACAAGGACAGGCTGACCCTGCTTAGGAGGGGTGCCCCATGCTATTCCCTGCTTCCTCCCTCACCCCCCACAAACCAGGTGAGGACTAAGGTCCTCACATGGCAAAGCAGCCTCTGTCCTCTCAAGTAGCTGACTCTGGGCACAGTCCCCAGACGAGGTGGGTGGGGGGTAGGTTGTGGGAAATGGGGCCAGCCTTGGCAGTTGCCACCCTCTGTCCAAGGCATGTGTGTGGGCAGATGGGTGCCAGGAGGGGGTGAGCAGTGGGTATGCCCACATCAGTAAGGATTCAATGCCCACTGCCACCCCCAGGCTGTGGCTGTCAAGGGCAGGTGGAGCCCAGGAGGGGGTGAAGCTTTGTCAACATAGACTCTTCCAACAGTCAGGGACCAGGCTGTGATTCCAAATGTTGCATTTACTGCTGGGGTAAAGGCGGTGCTGAAAGGGCCACAGTGCAGGCAGGGGCTAAGGCTGGGAGCTTTCACTTGGAGGAGGCCCACCCCACCAGGGAAATAGAGGCTTGGAAGAGCCAGGCCCCTGGGGACTGCACACCTTGTCCCCATGCTAGGGAGGGCATAGGACAGTCTGTAGGTCCTTGGGCAGGGAGCCAATGACTGTCTTGATGTATAGCTGTGCCCGCTGCAGTGTCATCTCCTTCACAGGGAGCTGATGGTCCTGTGCCCGTATCTGGAGGGACAATGGTAGTCAGAGGCAAGCACATCTCTAGGTAGGTGAGTGGCAGCTGGACAGGGAAGGGAGCTTCTCACCAACTTCTCCCGAAGTTTCAAGACCAGGTCTACTACCTCCACCTCCGACTTGTCCTTCATCCAGGCCTCAATGTTCTGCTGGGGACATTTCAGGTCCTACTCACTGAGGCCCCCTCTCCATCCTAGGCCTGTGCCCATCCCCTACCCTTGTCCTCTCTTACCGCCTCACATATTGCCTCCAGGTGCAGAGCCTCCAGCTTCTGGGCCATCTCTTTGTGCCGCTGCCGGTACCAGCCATCAAAATGGGGTGACTTGAAAAACCGCCTGTGGGTGGTGAGAGGCAGCTGTGCAGCTGACCCAGTGTGCCAAGGGATGGCCTTGCAGCCTGTGCCCAATGTCCTCCCACCTGTAGAGGCCCAGCCAGTCGCCTTTGAGGATGCAGGTGAGTTGGGGTCCAGCATGCTCCAGGCTACGTAGGAAGTCATCCTGGCGGAAGGGGCGGATCTGGGGGGGACTCTGAGGAGGAGAGCCATATGAGCCAGATGCTGGGGAGCACAGCCCCACAGGCTCTGCCCTCACCCAACTAGGACCTTCCTCCCAGGACATATCTAAAGATCCCTGACCCCACCCTACATGAGACAAATTCCCTGGATAGCCCTTCCCAAGCAGGAGGCCCCAAGCTCCTCTAAAGGTTGTTTCAGAGTCTCTCCCTGTGTCCCCCAACTTTCTCCCCTGTGAAGAACACCTGGCAGGCACAGGGATGGCCTTGAGTCTGATGGCTCCTGCAACACAGCCCTCCTTCTGCTCCATGTGGACACCTGCCCCAGGTCTTCCCTTCTCTGAGATGGGGACAGAATCCACCCTCCCCAGGATCCCCAGACCCCACCTTCCAGGGTGTGATGCTCTGCTGCAGTGGCATGAGGCTGGCCATGTAGTGCTCCTGGTAGGGAGGAGAGTGAGCTTGGGCTACAGCTCCTGCTGGCACCGCCCCCTACTGTTGCCCCTTGCCAGGCCTCACCAGGGGGATGATGAAGCTCTGGGTAAGCTCCAGGAGGCGCTGCCTCAGCAGGGCACTCTGCAGGTCCCATGGCCGCTTCTTCTGCACCCCCTATGGGAGGAGGCAAGGGATGAGCGTGGTCCATGCACCAAGTACCTGTGCCCAGGTTCTACCCAGCAGCCTATACCTTGAGCAGCCTTTTGAGCAGTGCCTTATCCCGGTGGAGGTGGGCCGTGTATGAGGTGTAGAGGCCTGTCAAGAGGGCAGAGCTGTGGCCATCCTTCTGGGCCTCCCTCTCACACTCCTGCAGCTCCACTGATGGGTGAAGGTGGATGTCTAGTCTGTCTACAGTTCCATTCCTTTGGTAGAACCTGCACATCTCACCCTACCTACCCCGAACTTTAAGAGACATGCTAAAGAAGACAATGTCTCCCTCTTTAGGACCTTTGAGTGGAAGGAGAGGAAGGCCTGGGAGGCCTACTTGTCACCACTGGGGAATTGGCCAAGTGCAAGGCTCCTCCACAGCAGAGGGAGCTCCAGTCCAAGAGGGGCACAGACCTGGCTTGGTGTCCAGAGTCTTCAGCCTTGAGGGCTTTTTCAGTTTGACCTGCTTAGGAAGATCCCCTGTGAAATATACCCAGTGGCCAGGCCTCAGTGCCACAGCTCTGGCCATGCCTACAGGCTCAGAGGTCACAGATCCCCTAAGGTCCCAAGCTGGTTTCTGAGCCCCTGGATGCCTCACCTGATGTCTTAGGCTCCCCAATTCGGAGGACATGGGGCCAGTGCTGGAGTGTTTTGATAAAGAAAGGGTTTGTGACTCCCAGGACCACGTTTGGTCTAGAGAGAGAAAGAGAGAGAGAAAGCGAAGAGGCAGAGAGAGGCCCGGGGAGGTGGTATAAGAGGGCAGGTGGGAAGGAAGTGTGCTTACGGGGCTTGTGTGCGTGTGGTGAGCTCCTTGAATTCGCTGTCATGGACAGTGAAGTAGGGGCGGAAATCGCAGCAGAACTTGAGGGGCTGCAGGCAGCTGTGGAAATGGGGCAGCAGGAAGCAAGTGAGGTGGGGGCGGCCTACTCCAGCCAGGATAGTCCAGGGGGTGGAGGTGCATACCTGGTCAGGGCCAGCACTAGCTCTGAGGACATGTCGGGTGAGGGTGCCAGAACCACTAGAGGCTCCCCAAGGAGCATAAGCTCCCACAGCATCTGCACATGGGTCAGCACAGGCCGGAAGCACCTGGTGTGGGTAGAGCAGTCTGGGAGGTCAGGTAGGGAGGACTAAGGATTCCTGCCCTGGGTCTCTGCTCTCCTAGCTGCTTCTCCTAGATGGGCAGGTGGTTCTCTGGCGCACAGGTACTCATGAGCACAGGGCACCACCACATCAGAAGACAGTGGTGAGGACATTTGAAGGTGAAGGACATTTGGGCCACCAATACCACCCCATGCTCTGACAGACCACCTGGCTAAAGCTAGCCCTGGGAATGGGGGACTTGACCTAGACCCTGCCTATGAGGGGCTGGCAGTCGTGCTGTAGCCCCGAAAACCTGGTAGGGGCTGCCTGCCCAGACCCTTTTTGTCCCCCTGCACTCACTGCCTTGAGCCAGTAGCCCTGGCTCCTGCTGGGCCCAGGATAGGCTGAAAGCCCAGGCTCCCCTGAACATATCTGGAGAATCAGAGGGGCAGCCTCAGGCAGCAAAAGTCCCCTAATGCCTCTCAGGGCACCTGCCTTCCAAAACCTTCCTGTTCACTTGTGCCTGTTTCTTCTGGGTCAGGCACTGGGCACAGGTTTCCTCTTCTGCACAATTCTCCATCAAAGAACTATCCCAAGGGTCACTCAAGATGGCAGTCCCTCTTTTGGCAGCCCCCACCCTGCATCACACACATGCATACAGCCACTGGTGGGTTTCTCCAAAGCAGCATACAGTACCTTTAGGGCTCACCTGAACAGGTCCAGTTCATGGACACTGGCAAGGACCACTGGGGCTGGCAGCAGGTTCTGACAGGTGGAGGGAGGGTGGGTCAGAGCTAAAGCTCCTTACCTCCCCCGAGCACAGGCTCTGCACTTTGATGTACCACTCTGCTACCCTGGCTTTGCCTGGGTTTGGCCATGCAGCAGAGTAGGCTGGGGAGGCAGAGATGGTACCATACAGCCCAAGAGCAGCACTCAGGCAAAGTCTGGCTCCTCCTCCCTATTCCCCACCTCTTGGGCACACTGCTTCAGAGGACTGGATTCTGGTCTGTCCACTCTGGATGGGATGCGCACCTGGGGAAAAAGGGAGCGACTGCCAGAGGGAGCAGGGTTTCTCCAAACACTCCAGTGGTACTTGCTCCTCAGCCAGCCCTCACCTGGATGACGACTCCCATGACAGGTAGGTTCAGGGTCTGCCCAGGCACAGGGGCTGGCCATTGGTCAATCTCATTACAAACTGTGGACACAGATGGCTAATGTCAGGAGCCCTCCCCAAGGGGAATGTGTCCGCTGTGGCCCACCAGGTACTGCAGCTGAGATGACTGAGACAACAGTCTATGCTGACGGCCACTCACCTGCTTCCAGGCAGGGTGCCAGCTTCTCAAAGTACTCAGGGGCAATCAGGCTTAGCAGTGACTGGAAAAGCCGGACAAAGGGCAGGCGGGACACCAGCACCAAAGACTGCGGTAACACAGAAGGCTCCCAGCTGCAGATGTCACCCCTGCGACTTAAGGTCCTATGGTGACCCTGAAGTCACACATAGAGTTGGCCCACCAGCCCCACAGGAAGGCTGTCCTGGAATGGTCAAACTCAGATCCCAGGATTATGAGACAGAAGAAAGCCCAATGACTGCATCAGAGAATGAGGGCAAATCCCAGATGACAGCAAGGCTGGGCTGGACCTGAGGCCTTCAAGGGAAAATGTGAGGTGGCTAAGCTTTCTGGAACAATCTCCTCAGGGACCAAGCAGCTTTTGCCTTCAGTGCCTGAGTTCAAAACTGAAGTTGTCCTAACCCTGACAGTGAGAAGCCAGTGAGCAGTGAGGAGCAGGGATGTCCTGAGTCTGGGGACAAAAGGGTCTCACATGCCATGCTAGGTAAGGAAGAAGCTGCAAGGAGAGCTGGGCCCAGCAGTGGCCCCTCCCTGGTCCTACTTCCCAGGTGGGCAACAGAAGGGTGGGCACTCCTAAAGCCTTAGGACTCCTAGAAAGCTTCATTGTCCTTTTGCTGCCCACTAATTCCCACCTCTCCACAGCACAACCTTAGAGTGGCAGGCAGCTCACCTTCTGGAAGTAGCCCCTCTTCACAGAGCTGTCCTTCACCTGCCTGAAGTACACGTAGCCAAGGTAGTGTGCTGGCTCCCTCTGGAAGGGAGCTGGGTGTTAAGCATGTCCCACCCAGGCCATCTGGGTAGGGCCAGGATGACAAGAAACAGTCAGGGATTGCTGAGGAAGGAAGCCGGGGGATTCAGGAACCACAGGAACTACTGTCCCTGTGCTCCACAGCCTCCTCTGGCCATTAAGGTGGAGGCCTCCAGGGTTGGACCTGGGAGTCCTTGGCTCAGAAGGTGAGTGGGCAACACCACTCTAGAAACCTCTTTGCTGACACAGCTGATGTGGGGGAGGGGGACAAAGAAAGGAGCCCTGGAAGTCCATGAAGGCTTTTGCTCTTTGTTCAACCTCGTACCCAGCCAGGGAAGGTGCAGTTGCCCAGCCAGGGATGCACGATGCACGATGCACAGGAAGAGCTCCAGGGACTCTAGCAAACCCCAGAAAAGCTGGCCCACCCCCAGAGGACCAGCAGGGTTTGCAGCAGTTGGTAACCTCACCGGATGGGCCTGGCCAGTATCTTTCCTGCCACACAAAGCCCAGGAGCTTGTAAGGGGCTGCTCACAGCAGCCAGGGGCCCTTGGGAGGGGGAAGAAGGACAGACCAGAGAGGCAGCCCACCACTTACCTGCAGTGCCACCGGGGCCATACTGTTGTAGTGCCTATCATCGGCATGCCAAGGGCTCCTTTGCCCTCCACACTGACGCATGCGGAAACTGAACTGAGTGTCCCCGAGGCAGCCTGAGAGGGAGTAGCCCCACCATGCGTGTCAAGATTGGGAGCCCCTCCTGCCACTGCCGGGGGTGAGGGCCACAGAAAAAGGGCCCTGCAGAGCTGGCTTCTGCTGGCATAAATGCCCCTGTGAGGAAACTCAGCCTGAAGGTGGGTTTCCTATGGACTCCTGTCCTGATCCTGCTTACCCCCATCCTGAGGATCTCAGAATGAACTCAGCAAACAAGAAGCACCTTCAATATCCCTATGGGAGCTTAGCTCAGCCATCTAGGGCAGTAGACCAGACACTGGGTAACAGTCAGCAGGGGCAGAAACAGGATGGCCCAGTTCCTGGTGGCCACTATGGTGGGATGAAGAAGACCGAACTCTGCTGGTACATCAGCCCAGAGACATGGCTTTCTGTGTGACTTTGGAGAAGCTAGTGGTCCTGCTGCAGCTTCTCCAGTTCTGAGTATCTCCACTGAGTGGACACCCATCCCTACAATGCTCTGTGCATCACAAGTGGCCTTGATACCTTAGGCCTTGACCCAATCTCTTCAATTCTTGCCCATCACCTCCCCTGCCCCAGAGCCTGCGTCAGAGGTCACCTACCTGAATGCGAGTCAGGAAAGGACAGGTAGCAGATGCTGCTTTTCTGAAACACAAAGATCCTGGTAAGGAGCAGATCACTCCTGGGGGACATCGACTCCCAAGGAGGCCAGGACCTACCTCCTTGTCTGTAAGCTGGAAGTCACTTGGGTACACCAGCTGTAGGGGAAGACAGAGCGCTTGGTGCCTGAGGTTATACCACTCACTAAGGTCAGCTGGGGGATGTGTCCAGGGGCCACAGGTACATGCAGGCTTTCCTCCTGGCCCCTCCCTTGCCTTCCAGCATCCCACTCCCTCCACATACACACTGTCTTCTCTGGATTAGACCTTCCTACTCCTTGCTGATCCCATCTTACCTCCTGTTTTCCAGGCCCTTCTCAGCATGAGGCCAGCACAACTGGGTGGGCTTCCTGACTCCTTTCACACATGGCCGTACCTCACCACCTCCTGTTCAGACTATGGTGAGGCCTCCTTGCCTCTACCAGCTCAGGCAGTTGGTGCTCCACAGCATCAGAAAGGCAATCAGAGCCCACTTACCTCAAGTGGTCACAGGTACCACTTGGCTAGTCCTCTACTTCCCTCACCACCACTCCCAGGTCAGAGGGTCTCAGGCCCTGCTACTTCTTCATATCTTTGCTCAGCTGTCACTTGACCCAGCTGCCACCTTGCCCCATGTTGGGAGCTCCCTGCCAGGTCCTCTTACCCTGTCCCTACTTGATCATATTCACCTACCCTCCAGGACAGGGCAAGAGTTCGCTTGTTTCCATGACCTCTGAGAACTACAGGGCCTAACTGGTGACAGCCCTAAACGAATGGATCAGTGGATTGCTCCTTGCTTTGGCTTACGTTGGCTTTCTGAAGGAGGGGTTACATGAAATAGGTCTCCTCCTGTCTGCTGGCCTCCTTCTCATCCTCCAGGACTTACTTAGCTAAGCCTGTTCAAGTCTCCTGGAGGTATCCTGTGTCTTTTGCATCCCTGCACCACGCACAGTCCTGGGCTTCACAAGACTCAGCCAAGCTTAGCTGTGAATGACTGTAGTGCATTGTGTTCCCTGATAGTCTGAAGGACTCCACTCTTCCCTAAGGTTTCCAGGGAAGGTAGGAAAGGCAAAAGGCAAATCTGATGAGGGTCATGGATGGGGCTGAGCGACCCATGGACTCATTGCTGATTTCTGCACACATTTAATGTTCGACAGGGGCCCAGGTCACTGTTGTGAAGCATTTCAGAGGTGGCCCTGGGTCTCCTGCACTCAGCAAGCTGCACTCCAACATCAGCTGCCCCCTAGCTATGCAGCCTCAACAAAGGCTCAGGAGCCCAAGCCCACAGCCTTTAACAGTACTTGCCTAAATTAACTTTCTGAATGATTATGTTTTAGGCAACTAAGACATGAGAATGCCTGCAGAAAAGATCTCTTAACTTCTAATTTTAGGAGTAACAATTTGGACAATGGAAAGTGAGCTCTGTAAGCCAGAGCAAATCATTTTACCTACATGTACTCAGGCCCCCTGTGGCAGTGTGCAATGGTGTACCTGGTGGGGACCATGTGCAGTAAGGATGAGTTCTCCACAGAGAGTGCTGAGTGGGTACTGTGCCCAAAGCACCCTGGAATCCTTTTTTTTTTTTTTTTGTGGTACTGGGGTTTGAACTCAGGGCCTACACCTTGAGCCATTCCACCAGCTCATTTTTGTGATGAGTTTTTTCGAGATAGGGTCTCTATTTGCCTGGGCTGGCTTCACACCATGATACTCCTGATCCTCCTGATCTCTGCCTCCTGAGTAGCTAGGATTACAGGCATAAGCCACCAATGCCCAACTGCCCTGGAACCCTTAATAAAAATTATGCTAGCCAAACTCAGGGCCTCACACTTGCTAGGCAGGGCTCTTACAGCTTGAACTATACCGCCAGCCTCTCTCTCTCTCATGGGTTTGGTTTTTTTTTTTTTTTTTTTTTTTGTGGTGCTGGGGTTTGAACTCAGGGCCTATACCACCACTCCAACCAGCCCTTTTTTATGAAGGGTTTTTTCAAGATAGGGTCTCCAAACTATTTGCCTGGGTTGGCTTCGAACCATGATCCTCCTGATCTCTGCCTCCTGAGTAGTTAGGATTACAAATGTGAGCCACCTGTGCCCATCTCTCTCATGGTTTTTAAGACAAGGTCTCCCATCTAGCTCAGGCTGGCCGGAGCTCACAATCCTTCTGTCTCAGCCTCCCAAGTACTGGGATTAAACCACACCCAACTGGCATTTTCATGTGCACCTGGAGGAAGAGAAGCTACTCCTATGGATGGGTGGAGTGGAGACTTGCAGGCCAGGGGAAGACAGTATCAAAGGCCTCAGGCCAGGCCCAGCTGCACACAACTGGTGACCATATGCTCAAGGCAAGTAAAGCAGGAGGCCTAGAGGCAAAGCAGGGATTCACAGGGTCTGGATCTGATTCTAAGTGATTAAGGAGTGTTTGGGGGACAGTTAAGAGGGGTGACATTGCAGACAGCAGCAGGAGACAATGGATCCAAGATCCTTATTGCAGAACTGGAGGGAGGGGACATGGAGGGTGGACTTGAGTACAGGAGGTTATCGTCGACTCCACGGGGAAAGGGGCAGAAGAGATGTAGCCGAGGGTACCGCAATGGATACACAGTCAGGCCTATCTCCCACTGCCTTTCCTTCCTTTGCCTGGGGTGCGCTCCTGGACCCCTGAAGAAAGGGCACCTTTTTAGGAGGAGGAAGACTACATGCTGTCAAAGGTCAGCCCGAGGGTACAACGTGTGCAGTGGGGAGCCTAAAAGGCTCCGAACCAGGTAGGAAGACAATCAGCAAAGCAGTAGGACCTGCCTCTGTGTGCGTGTGTGTGGTGGTGGGGTGGGAGGAATAAGAGTGGAGGGCAGGCTCTGGAAGAGGGACCACTGAGAAAGGGAAGGGCTTCGGAGGGGCAGGGCTCTGGAGAGGGAAAGGACGCTGGGAAGGGGATGGGCGGGACCTGCGTGGGGAAGGGCACAGACGCGAGAGGCGGCACGAGGGAGGGGGGTAGTGGAGGGAAGAAAAGGATGGGAGAGGCGTTAGGGGTGCGGGGCAGGCGAGGCACGAAGGTGGGGCCACAGGGAGGGGAGGGGCCTGGGGAAGGAAGTGGAAGGGCGCGGGGGAAGGCTGGGAGGGGAGGCCCGCGGGCGTCCGCTCACCTCGAGAGCCTGGCCCAGTTCCAGGTCGAAGGTGACTACACACACGCACTCCAGCCAGGCGGAGAATCGCTCCCAGGGAGCCTCAGGTGTCCGCATTGCGCGGCCGGAGGACGTGGGCCCGGCCGCACCGAGTCCGCCGCCGGCCCGCCGAGATCCGGCGCCCGCCCGCCCCTCCATCGCGGCAGCCGCGCGTTGCCAGGGAACGCGAGTGCTCTCGGGGCCCGCCCCGGAGCAGTAGAGCAGCCGTTACGGGCCTGAGCGGCCCAGGTGCAGCCGCGCGCGCCCCCTGGCGCCGGAGGAACTCCTGCCGCGAGATGTCGAGAGCGCACCAGTGAGAAGGGCCGGCGCGGGCCAGAGCGGCGGGCGCCCGCGGGCGGGACTTCCGGGAAGTTGCGGATCCGGTGGCCGCGGTAGGCGACCAGAGGCCAGCTGCCCCTGGGTCGTCGTGCCTCTCGGTTAGGTTCGTCGGAACGCCAGACTCTGCGCACGCAGCAGCGAGTAGATGACGTCCCCCACCACCGAACTTCATCTTTATTCAGCGCCATCCCAGCCGCGTGGTGAGCCGGCTGAGTTGGCGTGTCCTTCAGCGACTTTCGCCCCGGGGCTGGCATGCGCACCGCTGGCGACACGGCCGGGGCTTCGGCCCCAGAATGTGGTCTCCAGGGTCTGGGCCCCAGCACCGCGGCCGGGCACAGGATGGCGAGTGTAGAGCCCAGAGGCAATAGTAACAGGTGTACTGTTTTAGTACACCTAAAACCCCCTCCCTCCCTCCCTCCCTTCCTAAGGTTGCAGCAACATCACCCACGTCTTCAGTGGTGTTTTCACTCATTCGTGGACTGGCGGGAGGGCCAGGTTGCTTTCCAGCTCTGGCAATACCTAGGGAAGACATGGTGAAACCAGAGTTTTGGACACAAGGTCCCAGATCCTGAGATTCTATATTCTAGGACCTGCCACCCGCCCCTCATTGCCAAGGAAAGAGGCGTGGTGAATGCCGTAGGGAGAGGCAGAGTAAGCATTCAGCTCCTCTCCAGCCATCTTCAGGGGACAGGGTTGAGTTACAGGTTTAAATGGACAAAAGAACTGGGGGTGGGGACAGGGGTGTGCATAGTGGAACAGTTAAGTCACAGGTGTGGTCTGGTTGTTAATTGTCTCAGACTTTGTTCTGGGAGAAGTTCTGGAGTTACCTGGAGCCAGTCAGGTGGTCCATCCAAAGGAAGGTCTGTTGGGTATAGTTTCTGTCCCTTGCCATGAAGATGTTGTCTGTCTTTCCTGGATGCAGAGAATGGCTAAAAGCAAAGAAAGATAGAAAATGGAGGCAGGGATGCCAAGCTTCTCCTGTTTTTAGTTAAGTCTTGGGCCCAAGAAAGGAGTCAGTGCTTTTCAGCAAAACCAGTTTAAACTCCTCTTACAATGGGAGTGGACTTTCAGAATGGTAATGTCAGGAAGATCCTGTTTTGCCAAGGAAGTCAGACCTCATTGCCCTCTGCACAATTTTTCAACCACTTCCCATGTCAGAGCCTCTCAATAAGAAAGAAAAAAAAAAAAAGAAAAGAAAAGCAGTGGGAAAGACAGATTAGCAACCCCCCTCCCCCAATTGCTTTGACCTAGAAGTGATGTGCTTATAGTATATCAGCCAAAATTCGTTAAGTGGTGCCAGCTAGGGAAATGCACATGGCTATTTGATAAAGCTACAAAATCATTCTTTAGAGTTACCCTATTTTGTTGAATTCGATATGGCCTGGGGCCGTACACCTCCTACCCCCCCTTTTCTTTTTTCTCCTCATGATAACAGGGTTTTGAGCTCAGGGCCTTGAGCTATGCCCTCCAGCTTTATTTTGCTTTAATTATTTTTCAGATAAAGTCTTGTGTTTTTGCCAGGGAGTGAGTGGGTTAGCTTCCTCAAACCAGTATCTTCCTGCTTCTGCCACTGTGTAACTAGAATGACAGGCTTGTGTCACCACGCCTGGTTTGTTTTACTGAGATGGGGTTTTCCTAACTTTTCCTGGGAGATGGAGATCGGATTACCTGTGGTTTCTGAGTATTTGGGATCAGGGCATGTGCCATCTCACCTAGCCATCTCGCCCAGCTGCATTACCCCCTGTCCTGTTGTTTAAATTCAGAGCTTCACTCTTAGCGCTGGAGCCACTCCACCAGCCATTTTTTGTAAGGAGTTTTTTCAAGATAGGGTCTCCTGAACTATTTCCCTGGGGCTGGCTTCAAACGGCAGTCCTCCTGACTGAGTAGTTAGGATTACAGGCACAAACCCCCAGTGCCTGGCTCTGGTTTTTTTTTTTTTTTTTTTTTTGCGAAAGAGTCTCCACTCACTTTGCTCAGGCTGGCTTCCACCTGGGATGCTCTTGCTTCCATTTCCTGAGTAGCTGAGATTACAGGCCTGTACTATTACTCTGGGCTTCAAGAGGCCCTTATTTAATTTTTTTTTTGGTGGGACTGGGATTTGAACTCAGGGCTTTACACTTGCAAAGCAGACCCTCTACCACTTAAGCCATGCCTCCAGTTCTATTATTCTATAAACAACTAAGAAAACTACTACCAGTTGTATGATCATTGTTACTTAACTAGGCTCATTTTGTCCACCAGCAGTATTATAGTAGCTGAAAGGACAAAATTTGCAAATGAGTTTGACAAGGTGGCCAAGTGTGGAGATGGGAAAACAGGTCTCAGATCTGTCTCCCCAGTTGAGTTTGCTGACTTTTATGGGCCAAGACACGGAAAGAATTGAGGTTAGGAAATAGTTGAGCTGAGCATTCAGTAATAGACTTCATTAACTGTTACCATTATAACCCACAAGTGAGAGGTGCTATCTGTACCTCTAAAATTGATTTTTGAAGTCAAACAAGTACCTAACAGCAGGTGAAGCAGATTGTCTAGAGGGATTATTCAGAAGTGAACATGCTGGGGCTATAGCTCGGTTGTAGAACACTTGCCTAGCATGAATGAAGCCTTGGATTAGATCCCTAGCACTGCAAGAAAAGAAAGGGGGGAAAAAAAAAGCGGGTTTAAATCCATAATTTATTCATATTTGCCCTTGGCTTCATCATGAGTTATCACGTTTTCAAACATTCTATTATGTTCAAACATACTGAAAAGACAAACTGTCCAATAACCAAAGTACCCAACAAAGTTTTGTATTTTGGGTGTGTTGAGACCCAGGACCAACAAAGTATTAATTATAGACTCTACGTTTATAATTAATGCTTTGTTACATGTATTTAATTTCAGGTGCTCTACCACTCAAGCCACATCTCCAGCCCATTTTGCTCTAGTTTTTTGGAGATGGGGATCTTAAAACTATTTGCTGGGCTGGCCTCAAACCTCGATCCTCCTGCTTTCAGCCTGTCAAGTAGCTAGGATTATAGATGAGCCACCAATGCCCAGCTTCTGCCTTTTACTCACCATGGTCTCAGATCCATTTGTGGTGCATTTCATTAGTTCATTTCTTTTTTTTCAGGGAGTGGGTGGTACTGGGGCTTGAACTCAGGGCTTTGCACTAGTTCATCCCCTTTACTTCTGGGTAGTCTTTTGCTTTGTTTATTCATTCTCCTGTGGACCGATATCTGGGCTCTTTACAGGTTTTGGTGACGATAAAACTACTATGAAGTTCCCTGTAAAAAGTCCTTCTGTGAAGGACATTTTCATTTCTCCTGGGAATATCTAGGGACTGAGTTCATGTGGCATAGCCTAGGTATATGTTTAGCTTTTCTCAAAGCAGCCATATTTTTTAAAAAGCTCCTTTCCTACCAACGATGCATGAGTTGTTTGTCCCACATACTTGTCAGCATTTGGTGTTTCCAACTTTTGTGATTTTAGCCAATGCAGTGGGTGGGTAGTGATATCTTATTGTGGTCTTAATATTGAATTTACCTGGTAACTGTTGAGTGTTTTTTTTTCCTGTGCTTGTTGTAGGCCATCAATTGTAGGATATATTCTGATTTCAGGATTAAGTTGTGAAACAAAATGAAATACAATAACTCCTTTGTGCCTATTTTCAATCTCTGCTCATACTCCTAGCCCAGACATGTATTGCTTTGCCTTGTATCTATAGTTTTGCCTTTTCTCAAAATTGCATATGAATGTAATGTCCAGTGTGTAGTGGTAGGCCAAGTAATAAACCCCCAAAGATGTTTATATCCTAATCCCTGCACCATATGAATTTGTTATCTTACATGGGATAAAAGAGACTTTGCACATGTGAGTTATTTAATGGTTTTGAGATGGGGAGTTCATCCTGGGTTATTTAGGCGGCTCCAAAGAAAGTCCTTTTAAAAGGGAGGCAGGAGGATTAGAGTCAGAGAAGGCAATGTAATGATGGAATTGGACAGAAAGAGATTGCTGGCTTTGAAAATAAAGGCCAGGCTCTGGTGGCTCATGCCTGTAATCCTAGCTACTCAGAAAGCAGAGATCAGGAGGATCATGGTTCGAAGCCAGCCCAGGGAAATACTTAGAAAGAATTTATGTCAGAAATACCATCACAGAAAGGGCTGGCGGAGAGGCTCAATGTGAAGGCCCTGAGTTCTAGCTCCAGTACTACAAAAAAAAAAAAAAATATATATATATATATATATAATATATAAGTAAAAATGAAGAAGGGACTAGGAACAACTGAAAAAGGCAAAAAATCAGGTTCTCCCCAGAGCTTCCAGAGGGAAGCTGTAGCCTTGATGTTAGTCCCATTGGACTTTAATTTTTGACTTCTAGAAATATGTTTATATTACGCAACTAAGTTTGTGGTGATTTGTTACAGCAGCCTCAGGAAACTAACATGCAATTTATCATACAATGTATTTTTCTGCCTGGTTTCTTGCACTTAACATGTATCATTGTATAGATACTTGACATTTTCTTTATCCATGTACCAAATGATGGACATTTGGATTGTGTCTAGCTTTCGACTATTAATAATTCTGAGCCAGGCACGAGTGGCTCATATTTGTAATCCTGGCTACTCAGGAGGCAGAGATCAGAAGGATTGCCATTCAAAGCCAGCCTGAGCAAAAATAGTTTTCAAGACCCTATCTCAAAAAAAAAAAAAAAAAATCCCCAAAAAGGGCTGGTGGAGTACCCAAGGTGTAGGCCCTGACTTCAAAACCCTAGTACCACAAAATCAATAAATAAAAGAGTAAGTCTGCTAGATATATGTATGTATTAGCCTTTGTGTGAACATGTTTTAC